GCAACACAATATATTTGCCTGACGCTACACCTACACTGCTAGCAACACAATATATTAGCCTGACGCTACACCTACACTGCTAGCAACTCAATATATTAGCCTGACGCTACACCTACACTGCTAGCAACACAATATATTTGCCCGACGCTACACCTACACTGCTAGCAACACAATATATTAGCCTGACGCTACACCTACACTGCTAGCAAAACAATATATTAGCCTGACGCTACGCCTACACTGCTAGCATCACAATATATTAGCCTGACGCTACACCTACACTGCAAGCAACAAAATATATTAGCCTAACGCTACACCTACACTTCTAGCAACACAATATATTTGCCTGACGCTACACTTACACTGCTAGCAACACAATATATTAGCCTAACGCTACACCTACACTTCTAGCAACACAATATATTAGCCTGACGCTACACTTACACTGCTAACAACACAATATACTTGCCAGACGCTACACCTACACTGCTAGCAACACAATATATAAGCCTGACGCTACACTTACACTGCTAGCAACACAATATATTAGCCTGACGCTACACTTACACTTCTAGCAACACAATATATTAGCCTGACGCTACACTTACACTGCAAGCAACACAATATATTAGCCTGACGCTACGCCTACACTTCTAGCAACACAATATACTTGCCAGACGCTACACCTACACTTCTAGCAACACAATATATTTGCCAGACGCTACACCTACACTTCTAGCAACACAATATATTAGCCTGACGCTACACTTACACTGCTAGCAACACAATATATTAGCCTGACGCTACACTTACACTGCAAGCAACACAATATATTAGCCTGACGCTACGCCTACACTGCTAGCAACACAATATACTTGCCAGACGCTACACCTACACTTCTAGCAACACAATATATTAGCCTAACGCTACACCTACACTGCTAGCAACACAATATATTAGCCTGACGCTACACCTACACTGCAAGCAACAAAATATATTAGCCTAACGCTACACCTACACTTCTAGCAACACAATATATTTGCCTGACACTACACTTACACTGCTAGCAACACAATATATTAGCCTGACGCTACACTTACACTGCAAGCAACACAATATATTAGCCTGACGCTACACCTACACTGCTAGCAACACAATATATGAGCCTGACGCTACACCTACACTGCTAGCAACACAATATATTTGCCTGACGCTACACTTACACTGCTAGCAACACAATATACTTGCCAGACGCTACACCTACACTTCTAGCAACACAATATATTAGCCTAACGCTACACCTACACTTCTAGCAACACAATATATTAGCCTTACGCTACACCTACACTGCAAGCAACACAATATATTAGCCTAACGCTACACCTACACTTCTAGCAACACAATATATTAGCCTGACGCTACACCTACACTGCTAGCAACACAATATATTAGCCTGACGCTACACTTACACTGCAAGCAACACAATATATTAGCCTAACGCTACACCTACACTTCTAGCAACACAATATACTTGCCAGACGCTACGCCTACACTGCTAGCAACACAATATATTAGCCTGACGCTACACTTACACTTCTAGCAACACAATATACTTGCCAGACGCTAAGTACCCCGGGTGAAAAGCTTCCCATGTCAGGCGACACACAACAGCGATGTGTGACAGTATATACAAGTACCAGCCGTCTTTCATGTGCCCTCTAAATAACTCCTCTAAACCGACCGTAAACTTGAACTTTAAGAGACGTTTAAACGGGGTAAAATTGTGTGACAGCGCCAGTGTGCAGTCATTGACTCGAGTGTGTTATTGTGAAGGCGAGTTCAGCATCTCGGTGTCGCTACAAGCATGTACAACATAACCTCATTAATCCGAACTCCTGGAGAACTGCATCGAGTTACTCCTAGTTCAAGGCTAGTGTCGTTATCACTGCCTAGCGCCGTTGCAGACGTTGACGGGACGCTTAGTTACATCGTCTTAAACGTCATAACGAGGTAAAGAAGTTCGAGTTAATAATGATTGTAGATGTAATGTATACGCTGCCTGATTCTTTACAAAACAATCTGCTACGTAATTTATTTGCTTATTATCTACGTATTGGCAATTCTTTCAATCCTGTAGCATTGTCTCCAGCCGCTCACAATGAAATGTGCATCAGAAAAAGGGCAGTTGAAACAAATAAATGATTATAACTATTTTCAAGGCAGTTTTTATCATGTTGGGATCATTTTTGAACAAAATTCATTCAGCTCAATTATATTATCATTCATCACAATTATATTAATTAATTTATGTGTAATTACCTTGTAGTCCCCATATTTCTGACAACTGACGTTGTTGGTGTAATCGTGAGGTATATTTGTTTTTCCTTTTCGTAATTAGCAGGACATACAAAAGAAAATCACGTGATAGTCTAAAAGTGAAAGAAACAACAGAAAGTATAATGAGTTTGTTTTTTATGTGATTGAAAATGAAAAGAACTGTTCTTAAATCTGATTATGTCTTTTTAACTATCAATCGGTTCAACGAAGATGGGTTTAAGAAATGAATTTGCAATCACATGACATCTGTCATATTTAAAATGAAGTATTCTTTGAGTGCCGGTTAAGGGCAGTGAAGTTCATAATATATGTATATGTCACATACATGCTTAACAAAACTTTCCCTATATCACATACATGCTTAAAAAAACGTTCTCTACATCACACAGATGCTTGACAAAACTTTCCCTATATCACACACATGCTTGACAAAACATTCCCTATATCACACATATGCTACACAAAACTTTCCCTATTTCACACACATGCTTAACAAAGCGTTCTCTATATCACACACATGCTTATCAAAAACGTCCCTATACACACACATGCTTAACATAGCGTTCTCTATATCACACACATGCTTAACAAAAACGTCCCTATATCACACACATGCTTGACAAAACGTTCCCTTTATCACACACATGCTTGACAAAACTTTCTCTCTATCACACACATGCTTGACAAAACGTTCCCTTTATCACACACATGCTTAACAAAATGTTCTCTACATCACACACATACTTGGCAAAACTTTCCCTATATCACAAACATGCTTGACCAAACGTTACAAATATCACACGCATGCTTAACAAAACGTTCTCTATATCACACATATGCTTAACAAAACTTTCCCTATATCACAAACATGCTTAACAAAACGTTCTCTATGTCACACATATGCTAAACAAAACGTTCTCTATATCACACACATGCTTAACAAAACCTTCTTTATAGTACTCTCTACTTAACAAAACTTTCCCTTTATCACACACATGCTTGACACAACTTTCAACTCATTATCGTAACCTGAATATCTGTTTTATCTAGGGTTATGACGTTTCAAAGTTGTACTCTTTCTTTCGCCACCAACATCTGCCAATTTACTGATTCTGTGTTAAGCAATATTTTACCATTTAGGGATACAACCCGCAATATCCACTATCTTCATCACCTACTGCCAGCACTATCAATTATATCTTCCCCCGACCGCATAATAAACCATCTTCAATATCTGTTACCGGCATAATGGACTATCTTCATCACCTACAACCCATTTTTTCCACTATCTTGATTACATTCGATCTACACGTTTCCAACAGCCCTTGTTACTTTGAACTTGCATCATCCACTATTTTCACATCTACTGTCTACATTACCACTATCTTCATTTACTAACACCCATGTTATCCACTATCTTCCTTACCTGCAGTATGCATTATTCACTATTTGCCTTACCTTATTCCCGCATTATTCACTATTTTCCTTACCTTCCGCACACGTTATCCACTGTCACATTTACGCACGTTATCCACTATCTGCAATGTCTAATACGCACATAATCCACTATATTATTGCCCAGTAGTCACGTGAACTAAATTATGTTTAATTCTCCAAACACAAGGTGTCACTCAGCGAGAAGTACGTAAAAACTCCACTTTTTTATCTTCCCGCATTATTCACTATCTGCAATATCTAACACCCACATAATTCACTATTCCATTACCTGTGACACGAACTATCCACTATTCAATTGCCTTCTTCTGCATTATCCACTATCTGCAGTATCCATCATTTCATTACCTGCACTATCCACAATATCAATTGACTACTACTACTACTACTACTACTACTACTACTACTACTGGGGGCGGTCGGGTAGCCTAGTGGTTAAAGCGTTCGCTCGTCACGCCGAAGACCCGGGTTCGATTTCCGACGTGGGCACAATGTGTGAAGCCCATTACTGGTGTCCCCCGCCGTGATATTGCTGGAATATTGCTAGAAGCGGCGTAAAACCATACTCACTCACTCACCTACTCCCTACTACTACTACTACTACTACTACTACTACTACTAATTAGTTGTATCATAAACCACTGTTAGTATCCATTCACATCCCCTATTCCAGGTACCAACAGCCAGTATGCTATATCGATCTAGTAAACTCTCAATTCAGCTGTCCCCGACAGTCATGAATTAATCTTGCCCACAGCCGAGCAGACTCTTTCAGCCTATACATATGTGAACATGTTTACACAGTCAGTTACAACAGACAGTATCAGTCTTGGGGAGTTTAATTTAAGCCAAAACGTCCCCCCTCTTTATCTTTTCTCCAAATCTGTGCCATTCGAGACACGATATAAAATAGGAATCAAAAGAGAAGGGTCGTTTGAAGGGATTTACAAGACAGTGGCTGTCTAAGTGTTCAGGGCAGAGCCAAGTCCCCCTAGTTTAGAGTACACTCCGTGCTTAATCGCCCCCAACCCTGAAAGGGGACACTTCAACAGTAGCTGCATCTAGCATCCATAGTTAGGATTTGTTACTTTTACTTTCCCGATTAGAGATCGCAATTAATTGAAGCTTTCCCGTTCCCCGTCCGTACTGAAGCTCAAATCTCGAGCGGTGGTCACGTGACAGTGCGTTTACATGTAGCCCAACGCGCTGGTCCGGCTCATTCAGTGCTTGGCTTCATGGAATCGGCGCGGTGTAGTGTTTTGTGCGCAGGTAGTGACTTGGTGGAGGGATATAGGATTAGCTTACTTCAAAGCACATCAAAGGGCGCGTAGTTATATCTCAATAAGAGCAGACGACACTTTAAGCAAAATGGAAGCTACGAAAGCGAGCAGACGAGAAATGAAGGAAATTGAAGACTTTGTGAAAGATTGAAATTTAAGGAAAGGATTTTTAAGTGGGACAGAGATTTAGTTAACTATGTTGAATGTGTTTCCCCTCTTGGCGGGGGTATGTGTCTGTGTGGGGGTGGGGGTAGCGGGCACGGGGAGAGGAACGGCGTTCCGGAACGATTACCTCGTGTCCGACAGGGCAGACGAATATGATCCAGAAGATTTTCCTAATCTCAGCACAAATGGAGACGAGGTAAGTCTTAAAGTATTTAACTGATTATATTCATACATCTTTGTTGCTAAATCACGTTTTCTTCACAGGACTTGCGGTAAATTTGTCATCAACTGAAGCAGGTTTCTTTGCCTTATTTCATGTGGTATATGTTTATTGTTTGTTTAATTGATTGTCATTTCCCTTAAACGATTTAAAGTTTTTTCATTGGGTAATAAGAATAGAGACAATAGCTACAAACATAAATCCAAGACATTCTTTACGAATATCGGCGGAACATGATAATAATAAAATTTCATGCATTTTGTATATAGAAGTACACCATGTCAAACCGAAAGTAAATAGTTATTGTGTTATGAACATAAATAAATATGAAACATAAGGTTATGAGATAAATATGGAAAGTCTGGTTATATCGCAATGCATTTGTAGCAAACCAATATGTGAAATGGTATCCCTATATTTTTAATGAACGATTCATGAAGGATTCATGAATTTGTAAATTTGATCATGATAATATGATAATATAGAGAAACGTAACAAATCTCACCCATGCATATTGCATGTTGTTGCCGGTGGTCCGATGTTCTCAAGTGACCGTCAATGATAGCCGCCGTAACTACATCAACAACATCGCCATGCTGCCTCACTACGGTGTCCCCGTGCATGTTGATGACGTGCTACACACATTGAAGTATCAAAACATCATATTATACTAATCAATTATAGAATTATAATACATATGCATTATGTGTGAAAATTGTTATACGATAGTGATGTATCTAATACATGTTACATAGTTGGCGTTTTGGAGTTTGGAGTCTCGGCGACTGTTTTGATTACGTTTGTCATTTTCTGGTCAAATCTAATTTGAAAGTGTATGCTTTCTTCTGTCCTGCAGTTTGCTACAAGCATTTCAATAATTACACAGTCACTATATTTACATTCAAGCCACCGACATGACTCAAAAGTGAACATTCATATATAGACTTTTAAAATGGATAATCCACTTGCATATGAATTTCAACGAACGTACATGTATTGAACAATATATATGTAGTGTGTTATATATTTGTCAGATATATCTGAAATATATTTGAAATAAACAGAGTCGAAAGCCTGTGTCTGTCATTTCAGCAAAACCGGTGTAACACGACTCATGTTATATACTAGATTCTGAGGAAACAGCAACGAGCATGTATGCCACTGTAATATTTAACAAAACATTGTTAAATCAAGTTCGCAGACCCATGACCTGTCGAACGACTTTGTTTTGTTCTTTTTGTGTGTCTTGTATAATGGACTTTTCGTCTACACTCCCGTAAGGGTCAATTCATAATTTATGATTTAATTAGAGTGTTTTCTTTTTTAAATTATAGTAATACAAAAACCCACAATGCTTTTCTATCGTTTATGGATCTGTATACAACGGAACCTTGATAAAATAGACAGCTCACAATCCAGGCAAAAGTGTGACGATTCTGCCTGCTTAGTGAAGAACACGTCCACACATACCTACGACGGATGAATCTGAACCTTTTGGGGGGTTAGATTTGTTGAGTTGAGTTACGTTTCACAAAGTGCTAATAAGATAGGTGACTATTGCCAAGAGGGCCTGTTCATGATCAGTCTCGCGCTATGTTCAATTTCACCATCGCACCAGTCCGTATAAACAGAACGCGACTACTTGCAGTGGAGCATATGGACATGCACACTTGCTCAGCAGTAGATACAATGTTTATGGAGTTATGGCTTGATCATGTTTCTTTGATATGAGCAAATTAGTAATTACGACAAGGGGCCCAGCACAGATTAAGTACCAATGCATGATGAGATTATTAGCATTTGGTGATGAACTCAAAATCTCATGAATCTTGAATTCTCTGAAGCTGAGATAGAGAGATTCTTTTATAGGTTTCTTTTGATATGGGATCATTTGATAGGTGAACACATAAAGATTAGAACTTCCATCTGGGGACCTTGGAACGAGCTTAAATAAATAAGAATATGCACGGCAGGGGCTGATAATCTAGAACCCAACGACCTGAATGAGCATATTTAAGCAGTTGATATACACATATATATTTTCTGACGTGGTTTTCTATGACTAAGATTTGTTTCGGCATGTGTCAAAGGCATGTATTCGTTTATGACATGAAGGGGTTATAATTTGGCCTCAACAGGTACTGAAGAAACATAACTCATGCTGTGTTTAAGTGTTCCGTATCAATAGATTGAAAGGTTATATCTGAACATGCCGTTAATTTATAAGATTTCATTTTATGTTTTTATTGATGTAATTCATTTTTAATAAAAGGGACAAAGCTCTTTATATATTCACAAGAGACGAGTGTGCGATTCCGACTTTATCACGAGCATGTGTTTATGAATCACCATCAAATACCTGATGTTCGCGCAAAGGTGAACGTGGCCGTCACAAACACATGCAAATGCAAGCAAATTGTTCACCGAAATTGTTCGTATGACGCTTTTTGAAATCATGGTAAAAAAAGCATGCTCTATTGTATCACAAAAGTTGTGAAATGTAAGTACGAAAGGCTGGAGCTGCTGGAATATTGCTCGACATGAAGGAAAAGTGTACTATTGGAAAGTCATCCCTCTTGTCATACAGTCTTGTGGAGAGTGTTCTGTCACTCCCAATGTTTCTGCATAGATCTAAATATGAAATAGATAAGGTGGTCTCACTAATCTCCTATATTTCTAGTTCAGGTGGGTAAATCAGTGGAAGGGAATTGGCTATTTGAAGGTTATAGAACGATATCAGATCATCGATATACCTCAAACGTACGTTAAACTTCTTGGCCAAATTACCTTGTTTTGACAATCCGAGCAGAAATTTCAGTTGATGCCTATGGAGATGCTTACTGCTTACCTAAATATCTTACCATCAAATTGAAAGACAAATGTTATTTGAGATGCATCGTCTTCATATTGATATTTATATTAGGTCACGTGGTTAGAAAGAATGTCCGGGAAGACTATGTAAGGAATGCAACCTGGAAATAGATCCTTCAATACTTGAACACAGTTGTAAACCAGCCAATATCAACCAGATCAGAGTAAGTACTTATAAGGATATGTGGCTATGAATGTGGCTCCATACACCAAGTGGAGCAATGTGTGCAGGGAAGCGCTATTAACTGAAACTCCATCAACTCGACACATATTTAAAATGATGGAACCTTTTGGTTCACGAATAAGCCTGTTATTATCCACACACTAATCGTATCGAACTACGGATATGTCGACGTGATGCGATGGCCTCGAGGACATCGATGTGACGAGGTTTCACGATGAGTTATGTACACGACATTCACAAAGTTTATCCTTTGTTTTTAAGTCTTTATGTTTGTTATTATAAGTTTTGTTTATCTTTTTCACTTATTCCAAATAAGACCGTCCCTTTCAGAATTCGTATCCCCTTAATTTGCAAAGTTTAAAACAATCAAAACAAAGGTATTTGACACCAAATGTGCCAATGTTGGAAGAATCGATCAGGTAGGTTTCTGAGATTTGAGGTGTGTCCGTTATTCAAGAAACTAATTGCAAACAAAGGGCAATGGCTGTATGGAGATGAGGTGGAGAATAATGCTCTTTGTACATGGACATGGGTGATTGTGTATGAAGCAATGTGACCCAGCTCTTATCTCATCGGCAACATGTTGATGCAATGTTATCGGATATGGCCCCTGTCATTTGTCGGGACTGATTGTATTGTGCAGGTGGGTATAATGGGGTTTTTCAGTTTGATAAATGTACTTTCAGTCATATAAAGTTAGAACATCACATACAAAATAGATTGGGTGGAAGCCATGCTGATTTAAATACAAATGGTCATCTTTTGATAATTAACGGATACTACTGGTGCCCCTGAAAATAACAACGAGATGAAGTCAATAAGATGAACATGTCTATGTAATCAAATGCTTCAAGTCAGATATGCCTTTCATCCATCGAACGTCTGAGACAATATGTATAAATGTTGTACACTCAGAGTGTGAACATGACCAAGGCTATTCAAAGTCAACATGTGTATATATATTTGCTTCAAGTAAGATGTAACTATGACCCTCTATACGTTATGAATGATATCCATAAAGATTAATTAACATCATATAATTACATGACAAAGACTCACATGAAATCAAGGACAACACATTGGCATGTATAAATTGTCAATGCAAGAGAATATCCAGCCTAGATTTTCTGCCGAAACAGATTCCACTTGGCGTAAAGGGCAAATAGCTGATTAAATATTAGGAATGGATTTGAAAGTCAGTGATGACACCAGGCGTTCGCGAAAAGAGTAAGCATGTCCTGCCCTACCGGTAGCACCCGCAAGTATTTATTGCCTGACGCACTTCATGTAACACTTCATGCTTACGTACTTAGAGCATCTCATTTTCACGTCTTTTGATGTTACATACATCAACACACAACTGTTTTAACGAGTGTTAATATATGTGATATAAAAAAGACACGAAATAGATTATTTATCATCTCAAATCTTTCATCCAACCTTTTCGGTTCGTTAACAATAATAACCAATGTCTAGAATGCCCTTCAGCTTCTGTGGCAGATGGATGAGTGATGCCATTTGAAGTATGACGTCATATAAACCGAATACGTCACAATGGTATGCAAGGCATCGTGATGCAATTTAATATCTTCTAGCTTGATCTCACCCAGGCGATATCTCCTGTTGAAGCCAGTTTGCGATGATAAAGTTATTAATACTATTTGATATAGATGAACATTTTTTTAACGATATGATTGCCACAGATGAAACCTGATCAGAGGAATAGGGAATAACGCTGTATTCCCATTCGAACAAATAAGCCTCTTCTCTTTACAGAACAAAAGCACTGTCATCTTGTACATCAATTTGAAGACAATGCATATAAAATATCAGTTGCGAATACGCATGTATGTGTTTACAGCCTGTTCTTGTGCATAAGAATATAAATCATTGAACACCATTTAAAAACACCATATGAAAT